TAATAATAATAATAATAATAATAATAATAATAATAATAATAATAATATTAATAAAAATAATAATAATAATAATAATATTAATAATAATAATAATAATAATAATAATAATAATAATAATAATAATAATAAAATAGTATAGTAAATTCAATAGTATTTAGTCGTTAAAATATATTTTAATTAAATTTATTATTATAGAATTATTACATAAAATATTCATATACTTAATATAATATATGTATTATGTTTAAACAATTTTAGACACGCGCACGGCGTAAAAACTAACTAGAATATTAAATTTAGCACGTAAAATAAATTAGACGGTAGCCACTCATACACCCTTAAATATCTTCATTAATATATATATATATATATATATATATATATGCTATGATAAATGTTTAAATTTATTTACAGTAGTTGCTGTAAGTTTCATGTATATTACCCACCCAGTCGTTCGGAAATTAGTTGGGTGCTTGCTGCAACAATTGTTTCTCGTGTTCTAAGTGTAAAAATGTGACCGACGACAGAGAACAACATTACGTATTATAGGTACAAGGCTAATAAGTTTCAACGTATTGTCGTATTACATTCGCGGTTTATAAAGTCTAATGGATATTACATTAAATTATGAATGGTGTCGACGCGACGACTCGCGAGAAATCTCTCTTCACTGCTATTTATCGTTATTACTATTATTATTTTAATGTTAACATCCACCAAGAATTCATGCACTCTCTTATCTATGTAGTGTATTATTACCTGTTTCAAGCTAACGGTTGTCCGTCAGAATCGAATTATATCGGTAGGTACTAGTTATACATGAAATACGAGAGTGATTATAATATTATATTGGACCACATTAGGAACATAAACATATATTTATAAATTTAAGTATTTTCAAAAGTGTTCATACTTATATATAAGTTATATTATCACAATTACACACATTTGTTCACGAAAAAATAGTTTTTTAGTTTGAACTCTTCCCGAAGCGTTATGTATTTATAGAGTATAATATATTATCAATTAGCATTAATCTATTCTAGAATTTTGTGAGTTTTAATTTAAATCTTTTTTTAATATTTCAATTAAAAGGTTTTTTTTTTCATTTAAAATATTAAGTGATCATTGCAATACTAATTCAATTTAGTTGTACAGAGAACATTTTTCAAAATAATGAACCATTGTTGTGTGGTTAGGATAAAAGGGATACGTTTTGACGACAACATAAGAAATTATAAAAATCATAACGTTTATTGTTTTGCATGCAAGTAGATACTTATTTACTGACATAACATCAATAATACTAATTTTTAAACATGTTTTGATTTAATATAAATTGTATTAAAAATTAACTTCAATTTATGAACTATTTTATAGAAGTAGAATATAAACATAGATATGGTTGTTTGATTATCGAAGTTTAATGAAACATGATAGTCGAAATTAATATATTTATATATATTTAGCATGTACTAGATGTACACTTTTTCAGTTACATTACATTAGTGGAACAATCTCATTATAATATGATATGAAAAGAAGAAATTTAAAATGACGAATTGATACAGATATTTAATGATATTTAATGTTAAACTACGACTAATCATTGAAAGCTATATGTTATTATAATAAATGTAGATGAAGAAATATCTGAAACATAATAATAGTTGTGAAATAGGGACGCATTGTTTTAAAAGAAATTAATAATTATTATTATTATTGTTGAAAGAAGAAAATTCTTCTAAAATATGAATCAGTAACTTGTATATTTTATTACTTTTATGGTGTATATATATATTTACAGTGAAAAGGAACAATTAATTCAGACATCAGCATAAATTGGTGAATGAAAAATGAAAAAAAGATTGCAATTATAACCATTTATGTAATACAGTTATGAATTAAACTTATATTTTGATTCGTTACTGCATGGAAGTATTCTATATTTTATAATTACTTATATTTATAAAGGAAGACAACCGATACACAATGGGAATATTGTAATTTATATAAAAAACGAAGAATTTGCGATTCAGGGCAATATTATGATAACATGTTTTTTGAACGATCGTATCCATACACGATGTTACGAAACAACTAAAAAGATTATGGCTGTTAGAACGTGAAAAATAAGAGGTGACGATAACCTCAAAAAGGGCTTTATTTTAATTTTTCCACAATGCATTAATATTTAAAAAAGTATACATTTTTAAAAAAAGGGTTTAAAATCGTAAGTGAATGTCGGATTAGCGTCACGTCGGTTGATGGCGTCCTCTCGTATTATTGTTTTATCAAAGGTACTCGTCGAAGATTGACTTAGGTAGATTAATAAGTTGGTATTATTATTGATATTATCTATTTACAAAGACGACTCCAACGTGCTTCATTAATCCATTTTTACTCGAGAGAAAAAAAGAAAACAAGCATTTAAAAATATTTATGTAGAACCTATAATAGCATTTTCTATTATTTAGTGTACGTGATGCATGTGTGTGTCGACATCCTATTACCGTTTGTACGAAATAGCTCGTACCGTAGGACTATTTTGTATTATTTCTGGAACATTTCGTCGAAAAAAACAATTACAGAAAGAGAGAGAGAGAGAGAGGGAGAGAGAGAGAGAGAGAGAAAAAGGTAAAGAGAGACATATATATTATATATATCAGTATAACCTAACATTTACGTATGTGTGTGAATTATATTCATACAATAATGACATTGGTCTTTTTTTTTTCGCGACAATAACTCGCAACAGAATGGGAGTTTTTTGAGAGAAAAATGTTTAATTTTGTAAATAATAAGGCCAATACAGCGCGTTGAAAGCTATAAACGCAACGGGAAACAACAGCCTGGAGTATTCGTCGATTTTCCTTGCCAACACCGTGTTTGTCTCAACTGACGATGAGTAAGCGCATTCTTGTTGTAAAATTTTTTTGACCTGTTTGGAGGAAAACATTTTTTTTATAAAATTAGGCGTGCATCGTTTTACGTACAGTATCATTCATGCATATACGTCCCCAAGGGAAGATGGCAAAGAGGCAATCATTTTTAATGTATGAAATTACTCTACTTGTCAACAAAATAATTATGATCAAAATTGTAATTTACCATTATCAGCAGAAAACATTAAAAACCACAAAGATAATAATTGTTGTAGATAATAATCAAATCCGTCTGATTATTTAAAGGTTAGATTACTCGAAATTAATAATTTTCTTCTCGATAAATTTGTATATCCATTTAGTGTCCATTTAAAAAAGATAAAAGAAGAGAAATGATACTTAAAAATATCTGATTCAAAAAGTAGGTTAACCTCTCCCCCCATCTCTTGAAAACGTCTAGGAGCACCTCTGTGTTCAGGCGGAGTTTATACGATCACATACTAATTATATGCCGGTAATTACATATAGGTTATATCAGTGCTTGACTTGAGGGGGGACGCAGGTGGACGGTGTACCTTTTCTAATTTTTAGAAATTTGAACGTCCCCCTACTATTATGATGTTATAATTATAATGCTTAACAAGTATTGGGGACGCAATTTTTTTTAAGCAAACATAGTCCCCCTTCTTTAATTTTGCCAAGTCGAGTACTGGGTTATATGATAACATCGTGGGAACTGCATAAACATGCCACGGCGAAAAAATTGTGAAATATGCGCATGCATTCGTGCTACAAGGAATATAAAAACTTTATACGTTTTTGATTGCCTAGAAAGAAATAAAGAAAACATCACTGTTTTCTTTACATTAATATGTGAATTATGACACATGAGGTGATGAAAAATAAATACGATTTTAGTTTTCTCTGTAAGGGATGGAGAGAAAAAACAAATATAATAATACACGTTATTGTGTTTAGTGGGCGAACATTTGTAGTTTAGGAAATGGCAATTGATGAACAGAAGTATGGTTTTATTGAAACGCTTAGTAGACAAAATGAAGACATCGTTTTATCAAAACGCACGAGAATATCAACATTTAAACGAATAAATCGGAATTCGTAATATTTTTTGACAAAATCGACTAAAAATTGCATATAATTTCCATACAACCACAGTATTTGCGGCAGCAGGGTTGTTAATGTCAGAAATTATCAGTAATTGTCATCATTGTTATTACCACGCTGACTGGTATGACTGGAGATGACGGTAGATTTTCGTCGTACGATCTTGAGCCCGCCGTACCTCCATTCACCGGTTCGGTCAAGATGTTTCTCAGTATGTCCGGTCTTAATTTTCTCCACATATAATTAACGACCGTGAACTCGAGCAATGCGCAGAACACGAACGCTGTAAATTTCGGACAATAAATATCAATAATGACATCAAAGAAACGCTTCACGACTTTCACGTTAGTTTTTTTATAATTATGTTTCAATAATTAGAAAAAATATTTGATTAATAATTTAAAAGTTTAATAAACATTGTTTATAGTACACTTATTTTTTTTACAGAAAAGTACACACAATCTTAGGCCCCGGCGTTTGAGCTATACCGTACCTGTACAAGTGCCCATCCATACGTCTATGGCCTTGACGTAGCTGACCTGTGGCAGGCCGCTTTGAATGCCTGAAAAACAGACGATGTAATTATAATAATGACGTGATCTTAAGATGGTCGAGTATGTATCGCGGTGAGTACCCGAGGATTGTGATCCTACGGCCAATAGCGTCGTCACTCCCAGCGTGGTACGCCCCGGCACCGAGTCCACATCCATCCAGAAGGACACCCAGGAAATGACCACGATCAGCATGGTGGGCAAATAACTCTGCACCAGGTGAAAACCCACGCTTCGGCTCAAGTAAAATTGGGCTACCAGACAGCTGTAGTTGCCTGGAAATATCACGGGGAAATTGTTTTTTTTTATAAAAATGTAATCAATTTCTATGTAATCTGTGATTATATTTTCTATAATTCTCATACGTATACGTATACGGAACTTGAAATAGCGGTAGGTATTTATCTATTATTAAAAGCCAATATTTCACTCGCGATAAATATTCCCATTTCAGTACACTTTTTCACAGATTTATTATTCTTTGGAAATAAAAAAATAACTACCCGACATCGATATAATACACGACGCGGTACAATTGTACAAAAAATATTTTTATAGAATATTGAACAGTTAATTTTACTATAATACAATATTCATTGTTATTTTCGTAGTGAGTTAGCGTAAGACGCAGTGCACATCGATTAAATATTTGTATGATAAAATATTGTCATTATTATATTGACACTCGTACGTCGGTCATCATTCGACAGAATTTCAAAAGTCCTACGTGCTGCGGTGTGTTTATCATTATGTTACCGTACGAGATGTCGCTGAGTTGTTACCGCTCGTTTCGTCCGCGTCCGAGCCAAGACTATTTGGCGAACTACGATGTCGTTTTAAATACAGCATATGGTACGATACAGACGGTAATACGATATTAAACCGTTAATCTGTTAGGATATACAGTCTCTACGATGTTCTTATATATATATATATATATATATATAGTACATAAAGTTTGTCGTTGGTTTCCACGAGAAACGTTTCATGAATGCGTCGTCGAAATGCAGCGTCTCATGGAGTGTTCGAGATTTTAGGGCGCTCTTGAGAGCGACATGAACGATTGTGTCGTGTGTGGGCGGCGCGCGAGTGTCAAGCCGGATAGAGATGAAGGACATATAGAGGTGAAATTATCTTAGGCGGAGGACGGGTAGCAGACCGTAAGTATAAATTGCAACATCGTATACAAAGGCACATAATATTGCCAAAAGGACGTGTACGTGGAAAAATATACGTTTTTTGTGGGGTGTGGTTTTAGGTCTTCGAGAGCTACATTACTACAATAAATATATTGTAAGCAAATAACGACGGAAAATTTGATTTAGTCACTTTTTCTCTTCTGATGTGTTTTACGTGGACAAAAACTAATGATTGTTAGTCACGTGTAAAAAAACATAAACACACTTGGTTGTTAATATTTCGGAAATGAGTGATGTTAAACACCAACAACGGTACATTTCATGATTTTTATAGAATGTGACAACGGTTTTCAAACTTTGATTTACGAAGGCCTTCAGGGCATTTTTTAGTGTACATTTTATGGGTGTTCACAATTTATAAGCTCGATTTTTCAATTGTATCAATATTTATGATACTTGTTATAATCGGTCAAAAATCAATTACATAAGTTTATTATGACCAAATATATTTTTAACTAATTAATGTCAGGTTATCACTTCTTTGTGAGAATTTGTTTTATAATATGAATTAAATTATTTAATATAATTTATATATTTATATAAAATATAAATTATATATAGTTCATTGTATTTTTTTGACATTAATGCGTTTACATAAAAAATTCATAAATTACTAAAAATTTTCAGATTTCAGTTTTATACAACCTTATGTCTATATCTTCCTTTTAGACTATCATTTGAACAGATGACAGATGATACCCATGAGTTAGATAATTGCTTATCCACTAAGTGTCCAACTATGGGTGTCAATTTGGATATAGAAAATATACATAAAATATAATCCGGACCCCTTAAATATGATGATATTAATATACCACGAGAGCCCAAAAACTAGGAACGCCAATATTGTGAACCACAACTCATAAAAAATAATGTGTTTTTAATTTAAATTATTTTTATTATGTATGTAATTAACAATATGATTAGTTTCATCAATATTACCAATACTATGTTATTTTCAAATGGTATATTGACCAAACAATATTTTATATTATAACTTCTTCTTCTTGTGAGTATCGACTTTTAAGACCAACCCTCCAAACAAATTTTCCATCACATTTCACTATCTTCAGCAATATCTCTCCATTGTATAGTTGGTTCTATTGTTTTAACATATTTTTTGATACGGTACTCCCATCGTAAATGCGTTCTACTTAACGGTATTTTTCCATTTGGATCTTTTTTAATAACCATCTTATATATAAGTCTTCTTTCTTCCAACCATGTCCACATTAACCTTCTTTTTGTAATTTTTGCAACAATGTAGGGTTTTCGAAGTTATTCAATTCTTCATTGTAATGTATTTTCCATTTCCTAATGTCAGAGTTGATACATGATCCGTAAATTATATAGTACAGATTGTAAAATATACAGTCTATACAATCTATACAGTATATATACATTCAGCTGAGTTCAATTTAATTCAGACGCGCGTGTCCATAGGGTCCTGAGACTACTTTCGTTGAGCAAAGTTTTAGAACCACCCTAAATGCAATGTTATTATTCGGGTTAAGGTAGCTGCAGCCAATCGTGTTTTAAAGAAATCAATAAAGGCAATTTATCATGATAGCATTAAACTGACTTATAAGTGTGTGTACCTAAGTCTAATCTCGCTTAATATTTACTAGGAACTGCCCCACCGTCGATATAAAAAATCGTAAACAACTAATTATGAGGATCATAAATATTGCTGTCAAAAGTAGGTTATTTTATTTTAGTATTCTTTATTCATACACCGAAACACCTGCATATAAGTAAGGTGCTCAGAGAAAGGTGAGTGCTAGAGTAGACGAACCATTCATTACAACTTGGATACTTATTACTTACTGAAATTTATTCATATTGTACATTATGTATTTATGCTATAATAATTGATTGAAATATATACAGTGTATATTATACATATATATAGTTAGAACTCAGCGTTATTTAACTCACATAAATGTACATAATATTGTAAGTTAGATATCTCAGAGAAAAAAATAATGCCATTCAAATAATATGAATATCAAGTCAAATTGTTATATTTTTATATATTATTTACAAACTTATGCAGTAAAAAACTTTTGGTGTCATTAAGGTTACGTATTAGTCATATAAACGACGGTTTCTATCAATTCTTTAGTCTATTAACTCGGGCAACATCGCTTGAAAATAAACATTTTCTATTAATGCATTTATTTTGGTTTTGAAAAAATCATCATCTCTTAAAATTTGTTTGTATCTCAAAATGAATTTAAAATTAATATAGTATATACACAGTGTGTTATAAAATTATTGAAGTGTGTTAAATCATTTTTCTATCTAATATTTTTAAATTCTGAGTAAAAAAGGGATATATTTTAATTGCAAAAGGATTATTTTAATTTGTGTATACAATTTTGACCAGAAAGAGTGTTCCGATAGTTAAAAACCTAGTACTCATCAAATTAATCTAAAACACTCTGATCAGATGAGAAGGTATATGTAAAATTGTAATCATACAAGTATTTTTATTTGATACCTAAGAGATATAATAATATTTAAATTTAATTAATTTAGATATATCCACATAGCCCCCAAACTTCTTGAGCGGAGCCCTAGGGATCCACGGAGTACAGTTTGAGAACAACTGATTTAATCAATTATGACCAAATAATTTTGAATTTCGATTAAACAGACCGTCAAAGAAACGTTGGTGTACGATAATGTACAAAATAAAATCAATCAATTATTTTTCTAACTCCATGAATAATTATTATTTCAAAATAGTTTTATTTTCTTGCTTTCTACATATTTTTCAAATATTATCTTTGTGTCCTATTATAGGCTGGGGCTATGAACCCGTGTGTTTGACTCATGCAACACACACGGTTATTGCGGCACTAATTCTGAAATATTATAAAATAAAATATATTTTAATAAATAAATTATTGTTGTATTGAACATTTGAATATTTTTAGCATCTTACAACGGGAAATATTACATGAATCTAAAATATATATATATATTTTTGTAAATTTTAACACTCATAGGTATTTAAAATATAGTGTTTTGCCGAATGTCATTCGATTCACACGTTCTTATTTCGCTCATTCTTAAATGCTCTATAACTTATCGCCTTAGTTATCAAATAGCATAAATTTTACATCGATGTACGCATAAAAAATATTCCAACAGAGCTTGACCCATTTCAGAGTAGGCAAACGCCAAATATACATATTAACTAAAAAAAAAAAAACGGGTAAATATAATTATATATTATAACTAAATATAAATATGGTACTGATAAGTCATCGGACGCCCCATAGGTCGGTGGTCGTTAATCATTACGTGCGTCGCCGCGGCATCTTATCTTCTCATTAGCATAATGGACTCGTCCAAATCGTATATGAATCTTATCGATAAAACAAAACAACCAACGATTATACCTCCAATCTATAATCGAAATAACACTATCAAATCGAACATAAAGTGCATCAAGCGATGTTTTTGATTCATCTATAAACATGGACGAAAATAATTTCAAAACATAAAAATCAAAAAAAATCAAAAACGCACTTTCTCTTCACCTAAAGTTGATGGACATCAAAAAAAAAAAAATAAACCAATGTTCGTAACTGCAAATAGATACCACCCTTTAGTCACAAATGATAACGTAGAGAATATCAGCACGCCCTCACCACCAATAAATAATACTGATGACATTAATGATGCTCAAAATCCTAAAATCAATCTACCACCTCCGTGATTCGTTCGAGATTTGCTTAACTTTGCAGGATTTTGCAACATATTAATTGAATCATTAGGCCCGGAAAATTTTATATTTAAATCATCCATCAACGTCATAAAAATCCAAACAGCTAACCCTGATTCATAACAAAAAACAATCCACCTCTTAAAAGGGAAAGAAGCGCAATACCACACATACCAACCACACGAGGAAAAATCGTTCCACATAGTTGTACGTAATCTACATCCTTCAACTCCTACTGAAGATAATGGAACTGCTATAGAAGATTTGGGTTTCTCAGTTCGTCAAGTTATCAAAGTCCTCCAAAAAATAACGAAAATTAAGCTGCCCATATTTTATGTTG